AGTACATACATATCATGCGGCTCATCTTTGTGTGTGGCACATGTCGTGTCATGCTCACCCGACAGGTGGCAGAGGTTGGCGGTTGGCTGGTGAAATATGGTTCTGCAGCTGCGCTGGACTCGGCGTTGGACGCAGACCCTTGTCTGTGCCACAAGTACATTGAGCAGGGCGAGGTCTTGATCCAGCAGAAGAAGGCCAATCCAACGATGCGGCTGGGTAAGCACAATGATCTACATCAGCGTGAGTCGGTGGATGTCACGGAGGAAAAACGCCAGGGCTTGCGCAAGCCGAAACGAAAATTCATGCAGATTGAGGTTTATGAGAAAAAGTTTGGAGCGGCCGACCCCAACAAAATCAAGGTCCAGAAGATCGACGGGGAGACGATCCGGGGGGTCGACATCATCGAAGAGGACGACATCGGGGTGTTTGAGTACATCGATGAGACGGTGAACTCTGTGCAGCGACGCACTGGGCTTTCAGACGCAGATGTGGTGCTGTCGGCGGACCAGAACGACATTATATTTAATGCAACAGCAAAGCATATGTCCATTGCCCCGAAGGACGATGCATCTTGCGTCCTTATCAATGGCATCACACCGTCTTCGGCATCTGCATCGGCAACACCTGGTGCTGCAAAGGACACAGTCGTCGACAATGATGATGAGGACTGGTGTTGCGTGCAAAATTGCAAGTTGCAGCTGGATACCTGGGGATTAGTTTAGTTTAATTTCAGCTGTATACAGGACGGCGGCTCGGATGACGAAACCTTTCAGCCCTTTGCTGCGTTGTTCGGCCGCCTGAAAACCGTGCATCAGGCAGCCAAGAAGGCCACGACCATTCCGAAGGCGGCGGGCAAGGCAGCAGCGTCGTCAACCCCAAGTTGCAAGGCCAAACCGTCAAAGAAGCGCGCCGGGCAACCATCAGATGCTTTTGAGTCCATCGGCCGGGCACCTCGGGGTGGTGGCGCTGGTGATCTTCCGCACGCTGCGCATGTGGACATAACGCCAGACGATCAAGACGTGGTTGACAAGTACCAGACACGGCTGGATGACATGAAAGTGCTGGAGGCGGCATCACATGATGAGGCTGCGTTCACACAGTGGGCGAAGGACAAAGTTGCATCGTTGCAGGAGCTCAAGCAGCAGATTTACACGAAGAAGAAGTCCTTGAAGCGACGCAAGGAAAACACAAGCGAGCTCGCTTCAGCTCTGGACGGTTTGACGGCTGATTGCAACAAGTTAAACGATTTGTTGAAAAAGCTTTCGGCTGGAACATCGGAGGGCCGCCAGCTGGTTGAGATGATTGAAGGCATGCCGGACGTGACGCCTGGGCCGGCAATATGGATGCGTGCGATCCGGGCTTTGGCTTTCGCAAACCTGAAGGTGATGGAATGGCAAAGCTTTTTCACGGAGACCTACTTGTTATGCGAGAAGCATGCGGATGCAGGTTTCTTTTCGTTGTTGGCTTCCCAGCTTCTTCAGAGAATGGTCAAGGCCATCCCTTGTGGCAAAGCATTGACATGCGATTCGATTGCAACTGTGAGGGCTTTCCTTGATGAGCTCTCGGCTGTCGACAACATCAGCAAGACTCTGACCGCCGATGTGGATCTGGAGCAGCATAGGGGGTTGATCAATGATCTAAGGACAGTCCTTGATTTCAGTGCATCCCCGTCTTCTGTTGAGGCAGCAATTGCAAGAGCCAAGAGCCATGAAACTCATTGGGCAACGGTGGCTTTTGCACTGCCGCAAGGGAAGAAGGTGATGGATGCTGCGGCAACGAATGCCAAGACTAAGGGTGCCGCGTCGGGACTCCTGGAGAAAATCGAGACTGCAGAGAACTACCTGGACAAGTCTGGCTTGTGCTGCGTGGATGCGGTCGCTCATCAATACCTTAGCGATCGGTGATAAGTTATAAGTTATAAGTTATAATAAGTACTAAAATTATATTTTATAAGGTTTTATACCGGGGCTGTGAGGGGTAGTCAGTGTGTGTGGATAGATGATGGGTTCGTTTGTGGGTGGATGCGGATCGAGGCTTTTATGGTCAGCATGAAAGATGCGTTCGATGCCGAGCATGCCGCCCAGATCTGCGAATTCTTGATAGAATTGGCCCCGATGAAGTCTCTGAAGGTTCTCAAGGGCGGCGATCGCGAGAAGTGGATGTGTGTGTGGGCGAAGGCCAAGGCTGCGGTGTTCATGATCGTTTTCGCATGTGCGTCTAACGAGCTGCTTCCGTATCTTGGGCAGCTTCGCTCCAGTATCGAATCGAAACAGATGCTGAGCGATCCTATGCTGGAGCCAACTTGCGCTTTGTGCCACTTGGCTGACAACTGTCACGGCGAGGATGTCATTGTGGGTAAGGTCAAGGACCTCAGCGAGTTCGTGAAGGAGATGATTCGCTTGCTATGTGACGATGGGCCTCTGGCGGAAAAGGATGCGAACACACTGATAAGTTCATGGGCATCCAAATCGACAGCATTGTTCGCGTGCCTCAACGAGTGTGCATCCAAAGCTCATGCACAAGGCCTGGACCCGGAGAATAAGATGAAAGAGTGCGTAGACAAGTTGGTGGCTGAGAAGGAGAAGGTGAGCCACTCCCTGGAAGCATCTCTCAAAAGCCACTTGCGCGACCGGTCATTGACAAACATTCAAGAGTGCATGCTAATCCTTCGGAATGCTGTGCTTTCAGCGGGCGAGGTTCAAACTACGTCCAAGGACAATTTCGACCAGAAAGTGGAGGCTGCATTATTGGTCTCATCGGTTCTGGGGGCTGAAGGCACTGTGATTCGGGAGGGGATCGATGCTGCGTGCTTGCTCCTCAATTGCATGGTGGCACACGCGGCGGTCGTGCACGACTATGATTCAGCCGATCAGCGGATGGCCGCAGTTGTGACCTTTCTCAAGGCCTACAAGGCTTTGCCTACTGACAACTACGCCGTTGCCTTGAAGGAAATGAACAAGTCTTTTTCGGTCAGTTGTTTTTCGGAGAAGGATTACGAAGACATGAGCAACTTCGTGGATGCGATGAGTGCCAAAAAAGACGCCGAATTTCAAGCTATCGTCGCCTATCATCAAGGGAAGCTTGAAGCAGCCTACATCGCCGAGGCCGACGTCGAGATACCGGATCACATCGCGAAGATTGAAAAATACTCTGATATCAAAGCGAGTTCGGTCACAGCGGCATTCAGCATGGATGTGACGAAGAAGTTGTCAAACAACGCTGCAGAATTAGAGCAAGCTATCGCGGCTGTTGAAGAGGCAGCAAACGCTATGGGAATCGATGCGACTGAGATGGTTGAACTTCACAAGTACACAGGCTCCTACAGAAGTGCGATTCGGTGGCTTCTGACCGGCAATGTCTTGTATCTTCTTGTGAGCAAGGCTGTTACCCGTGCGATGGTAGCAGGGTCAGGTGTCCACCCCAAAGCATCAAAGGAGATGATGAGTTGCATCAAGACCGCAGCTGAACATCACATTGAGTTGCCACAGGGCATTCATGCATGCGTGACTCTGATCTGTGGAGGGAGCACTGCAACGACACAGGCGCAGCCTTCCCACGCAGTACCATGAATTTGGTCCGCTCTCATTTGCATCGATGCATAGAGTCTCTAGAGTGTTGAGTGGTATTTTCTGCGTGACATGACAGGACATTGTCATGCTTCCGATCAGCTAGTTGATGTCAGGCCGTGGAGGGTATATACATGGTGGGTCAGATCACGTGCGTAGTTTAGTGATTTAATTAGGGTCGGCCAGTCAGTCCATAATTCGTAAAATAGGGAACACCACGGCTGACTACCTCTGTCAATTCGAGCCGCAGTGCATCTAGCAATGTGTGAGTGCTGGACGGGCTGGGCTCATGGCCTCCGTGCATGGCCCAGGGCTTTGCCAACATTAGTTAGTTGGAGTTGCTTGTGGTGTAATGTCAGAGTCAGTGTTATGGTGTTGTGATGTGTTTGATATAGTGAGTGATATTACATATTATTAATATCATATCATATCATAGTCATAGTCTATGTCAGACTGTCAGACATGTCGTTGTAGTTTCTTCAGGTGCTATTGCCAGTTGGTGTCCGTTGTGTTGCGGTTGTTCGTGACGTGATCTTGTGAATCTTATGAAATGTCGGGCTACGGCTAATTGATGAATGCCCGTGCTCACACACGAGCCTCTGATGGTATGGACTCCGGATTCTGTCAGAGGCATGAGCATACGATGCGGCTCGGCAATGTGCAGCCGTGCAGTCGTTTATTCAAGACGATCTTCTTGGTTGCTGAGTACAGTATAAGTAGTATAACTTAGTATAACTGATATCTTATCTTATCATTTATCTAGGTTGATTGAGATTGAACAGTTTTTCTGGATTGAGAAGTCAAGAATTATCAGTGGAATCGAGTCTGAATGTAGTTTGTGCTGCCCGGCAATGCATGCAAGCCAGATCCGTAGACTGTCTGTGAGTCTGTACAGGCGTAGCCGCGTAGCCGTCGCCAAAGCAACCGTACCATATGTTTTCGCTGGCATGGAGTCAGTCGACTCATCATTCTGGATGGGGAATGCACAGATCCCGTTCCTGATGTGTTTCGCCGGAAAACTTAATTCATTTAGATTGGCTGTGGGCTCTCTGCGGATTGCTACTAGACTGGAGATCTCAAATCGACCGCGCGGGAACAAATATAAATTGTTTGCGTTGCGTCAGTATGTATGTGCGGAATTGTGCGGAGAATGTGCCTGGGTTGATACAAGCGATGCAATTGTCATTGCGAGTTGCTGCTGCTGCAGCACATGAGCTGATGTTCGTGCCTCTGATTCGGTTGCTCGAGTGTGTCAGATTCAGTCAGACAGAGGGATTCGTCCATCCTCAGCAGTGGTGTCTTTTTATATTATGCAATTATGCAATCACAAATCATAGTCCATCGGTCTTAATTCACAATCATTGCACTTTCGGCCAAGTTGCGGCCCAATGCCGCCAAAGAAGGCATCGGCTGCGAAGAAAGCAGCCGTGGTACCGAAACGAAAAGCGTCGCCTGGGCCGAAGGCCAAGGCAAAGCCAAGCGCTTCGCCGCCCAAGGAGTCAAGTGATGCTGGTGTGTCACGCAGTGTGGTGACGATTCATCCTCCGCCTCCTGAACCCCGTCCTCCGCCTCCTCCACACCTGCAAGTGTATTGGGCCAACTTCTTCAACGAATCCGGGAAAAGGAAGGCTGATGAAATGCAGGGTGATGCCCCTTCCTCATCAGCAGCTCCGATAGCGGCGTCGATTGACGCGCCAGATGGTGGACAAGATGATGCTGGGTCACTGGTTCCGGCACGTTCTGCCGAGCCTGGTGGCATAGATCTTCCTATGTCGGAGCCCCCAGCTTCTACAGCAGCGGCCCCACCACTGGCTTCCGAAGAGTCAGGCAGCGAAGATCTTCTTACAACAGCAACAGCTTCTGAAGGGGGTAACGCCAGTCGTGGCGGCGGTGATCTTTCTACAGGCCCGGCGCCA